TTTTTTTTGTAGTCGTGCTAGAGATTTTTATCAGGTGGTTGGAAAAAATACTGTGAAAATTTAGCTTCCAGATTTTTATTAGATAAAGAAACGGACTGTCTCGGCAGAAAAAAAAAACTGAAGACGAACACACCAAAAACGAAAAGAGTTGAATAGCAAACCTTAAAAAAAATTTAAAAATGCCAAACCAAATACTGAACCAAACCAAAAACACAAAGCGGGCAGGGACAGATACAGCCTTTTCTGCACAAGGGTGGAGAAATGTGTTGGTCTCAGTTAGTCTGAGTGTGTTTTTCTGTATTTAAGCGGTTAGAAAAATAAAAGGTTAGCAGTGATCTCTCGTCACTAATCCCGAAACCCAAAGACAGCAGCGTGAAACGCGCTCACAGATACAGAACAACACACACAGCGAAGGCCTCGGTTAAGGTGATGTGTTGCAAGTTGGACGCAAACGTATCCAAAGAATATTTGGTTTGATCCGCACCGGGAAAAGACAGTCGACACACGAGAATCGTTTCACAAACCAAGCTTTAGATGTGGGGAGAAGGGGCGTGGTCGCACCTTAAAGGTGAATCCTTTCCTCCACGTTGACTCTTAGACGGAATGTACCTGTTAGTGCTTCTATAGATTTTGTAGAAAAAAAAGATCTATGTTCTACTGCTTACTTATCGCTAATGTATTAAAAAGAAAAAAATGCTTACAAAAAAGACTTTGAGAAAAAAAAAGATCCTTAAAAAACATTGATGATAATAACTTGATTTTAGACCAAAAATTTAAACTATCTCTCTTTGGATTTTGCTTTCTCCTTGTTAATCATGATTTAGACTTTTGATTGTACTATTTATTCAGGGTAGGGTTGGTTTGTTTGCTTGTCTTTATCTTTGCTATTTATTTGGTAATTTATTCCTATAGGTGCTTTTGTTTTTTCATTTTCCTATTTTGGGGATGTATTTGTCATGTTTTTCTTTTCAAACCCCCTTCTGAGGTTCTTTCTTCTGTCTTCAAACCAAATAATACCAGAAATGCAAACGCAGGTTCTGTTTGGGGGGCTTATATGAAGATGTTCCCTTCCTTTCCTCATCGAGACGACTTTCCTCTTAAAGGGGAAGGGAAGCACACAGCGGTGAGAGGTAGCACTGTGCGGACCGACGCTTCATGATTTGCCGGGGCGCAGGTTTTGTGGACGTACGTCCTGCTTTGTGTCTGGGTGTAATTAAAAGAAAAAGTCGGGCTAAAATCCAGCGTCGGTGCAGGGAAAGGATAAATATGATTTGCAGCATGAAGTGTTCTTTGAGGCACAATGCTGCCTCTGTTCTCTATCTTTTCTCCACAGGGAGAACACACAAAGCTTTACAGCTACACAACCAAAAACACAAAAGAAGAAGATCAACTAGGGCCAAGGCTTCGCTGTTTTTTACATGATAGAGAGGAAAGAAGGAGGCAAAGGAGAGAGAGGGTGATTTTGAATTCCCAGCTGTAAATTGCCTTCTAACGTCTCACTTTGTCTCCGTTTCTGTTTTTTCTTTCCGTTTCCACTTTTGTGTAAGGTGCTTTTGCCTTCTTTTTAAAATTTCCTCCATCCACTGTAGGATGTAAAAGAGAGATAGTTCATCATATACCTCATATTCTTTGATGATAAACCAAATAGATGAATGCTTTAAATCGCGGGGCTCCAGTGGGTATCGGGGTATGGGGACGTGTGGACTGTGTGTTTGTACTGACTGGAAGCGGGCACGGTGAGGTCAAAGGTCATTATTCTTTATGGACAAAAGGTTTGGGAATAATTTGGGAGGGGACCAAATCCTTGGATGGATTGTAGTTTTGGTGCAGTTTAGGGTTAAAAGGCCCCACTGGTTTACGCTCCAGTCTACACTCACACACACACACACACACACATGCCTTGTCCCCCTGAAAACCACCCCCGCTGTCTGTGTTGAGCTTTGAACACAGCCCTCTCCTCACATCCTACCCTCACTGCTGCCTCCCTGTCAAACATGCACTGTGGGCTTAAAGCTGCTCTTCTGACATCAAATCTGGATCTGTTATAGACTTTATAAAGCTTCCAGGTTTGTGCCTCGGAGCAACTTTAGCCCTCTTTCGCCTTTGGGTCTTTATTGCCCAATGAGGGGGCCGATCTGATCAGTCCACGTGCATCAGGAGGCGCCGTAGGGCAGGTAGCCACGGGGACGGCTGAAACCGAGCTTGCTAGGTGACGCATCCAAACACGTTTCACAACTCTGTGTGTGTACGTGTGTGTTTATGTGTGTGTGTGTTGAGAAAGTGGAAGTTGGAGGGAGAGATGTACACATGATCAGAACATCTGGATTCTTCCTGAGAGTTCAGATGTTTCGTCTTTTTTTCCCTACTCTCTGTCTCTCTCGAACCTCGGGGTTTGAGGGACCGGGTGCAAAGTGCAGGTCTCTGTGGCGGGGATACCCCCTTAGCGAATGATACCAAAGTCAATGCCCTGCCATGTGACCCAGCGCGATGTTCACGCTCCCAAAAATCCTGACGTTGCAATAACTGTCAGGCATTCTCCTCCATAAAATCTTTACAGCAGTTGTTCTTTGTTTTTAAACACAGTTGCACACTGGAGGGATGAAATCTTCGCTTTCTTGCAGAATGTTAGATAAGGTTACAGTAGCATAAAAAATATAGACTGTCATATAAAGCCAATGCGGCCATGGTGATGCCAAAGATTGTCTTGTAAAGTTCAGCTGTGAAGCCTCAAGTTTCATATTTTGGCTGTTGCCTTCTTTTAATCAAAAACAAGCTGTCACATTGGCAGAAATGGAAACTGAGGGTGGCTGCATCCTCGGATAGTAGCAACTGTCAGTCACACTAAATCTTCTTGACTTATTTCTTGCAAATGGAAGAGTCTCCTCCTGCTGGCCATTAGAAAGAATGCAGGTCTAAGGCACCCCCTCCCACTCCCCTCCCTTCTGGCTTGACTTTTCAGACCCATCTTTATATACAGTCTTTAACATTTTAACCACTGAGCTTAAGAGGTGTGGCTTGGTGTTTTGTTTTTTTAACCTGTGGATTGTAGAGGTGTTGAACTGAATCTTTTCTCAGTCACACGTCCCACAGTGGAGACTAGAAGCGCTGTTGTCAGATCAGCCTTTGTACACGGTAGATCAAACTGGCTAAAAAAAAAAGCCACACATGAACAGGTTTAGATTTTGCACCAACCTGAAAATAGCTGATTGAATTTAATGCAAATGTTAACACGTCTGCTCTCTGCTGTATGTACCAAGCTGCATTTAAACTGTAGTGCTTCACTTAGAGTGAAGCTTTGATGACTGACTGCCAATGCAGTGAGCCAACATGTGACTGAGGGTAAAGTTGAGAGAATGGTGGTTTATGTCGGTGTGACTTTTCTGTTCACGTTTCTCAACACCATCTCTCTTTGTGGATGTTAGGAAGGCGTAACTTTGCCTTGTTGCGTGCACCCGTAAAGTGTTACTAAGGCTCCCTATAGCACCATGAGTTATTACATCCTGGAA